AAGCAAAGAAGTTAGACAAAAGGAGCAACTAAAACAATAAAACTTGAAAATTGCCAGAAAATATAATTATCTGAAATGGAAATAAGATGTGTACTAGGCATTGTAAAAATGCAACAATGATGCTTAGATATAGGAAGCAGCAGAAATAAAGAATGGAAGATATGAATAATGAAAATAAAAAGCAGTGTAAATTCTGACCAATGGCATCATATAACATGGGTTAAATGAGAATTTCAAAAAAATAACAACAAAAATCAATCAAACTTGATGGAATCAGTAGATAAGCAAGTAGTAAAGGAGAAGGTAAGGTTACTGCAGCAAAGCTGTACATCCCTTAGGTTGATGTGCTACAGAACAGAACAGGGATGTTCCTGGTAAAACACTCCTTACAGGAGTTGATCTGAGGAAATCTCACGTTTTGGAAGAATGTCTCAGAGACAATCTCACTGCTGACAAGAAAGGGTTTTAGCATAAATCAGTGCAGTAAATAGTAACAACTTACTAGGAGCAGATGCTGCTCACCCAGGAGCTCAGAGGCAGCTCACATACGAAACTGCTTGGCCACTCAGTGAGCTCAGTAAGTGCTGCTTAAATCACCTCAGGGCCAGAGCTACAGGAAAGTGCAATCCAACTTTGAAAAAGATCCAGGATGAGCAGTTGCAGTTCTTCCATACTGTGTCTTTGGCCTAGTCTTGGTCTCTTTCCTGGACCTTGGATCTATGTGTCCTTGTCTTTAGTCTTGTCTCTGCCTTTGTCTTCTGGATGCAATTCACATCAAACAGGCTGTGGTCCCCTCGGGAGCCCCCTTATAGAGTCACCCTTTTCAGGCTGTTCCCTTCTGGCCCATTTGTCTTGGTTCTCTTTCAAGGCAAATCAGGACATGGGTAATGACCTATGCTGTGTAGTTAAAGTGGAGCTAGAACAGAGTAGGAGGATTATTTGGGTTCCACAGTAAAAGCTCCTAGGAGGACTCATCAATAAAACAAATCTTGAGACAAAATGGCACAGTTAAATGGCCCATTTTCCTAATGGGCCATCAAAGCACCTCGGGAACACATTGTGGCATTTGTATGTATAACGGAGGAGGTGTGTACTGCAGCCACAAGCTGCAGAAGCTAAACCAAAGTTTTGAGATGGTTCAGGCTAAAACTGATGCATCATTTCTCAGCACAGCTTATAGGACACACTCTTCACACCTGTAAGCATTTTCTGCAGGAAGCAGTTAGTGATCCCAGCTGAGACAGGGATTAAAGCAGCAAACAGGCTGTGAGTGCTGATGGGGCATTCCTGACTGTTTCTGGAAATGTGTCCCACTTGCACAAATGGCAAACCACTAGAGAGCAGCATTAAATCAGGACTTCTGCTATGTAAAATAATGCTTTAGTGTGATGTTTGCAGTTGGACACTGGTTTCAGACCAGATTTTACCAGAATCAGGGAGGCTATAGACCAGCCAATCTCATCTGGCTCAGTCCCAATACTCAAATACTGAAAACAACCTTTGTAGCTTGTCTCCAGGAACCCAAATTTCCCCATGCATCAAGTTCAAAAGCTATAGTTAAGTTCTCTTCAGCCTACAGCTACTGCAAATCAGAGAAAACCGACTGTGCTGGAAATGCTTCAGCTGATTCCTGTCTCTAGGCATTATCTGGGGTTAAGGCTCACTGACCCCTGGAGTTATCTCCAGTGCAAAGTCTTTGGACTTGTGCCTCTCCTTTCTAACATGATGGTATCATACTGACACTGGAAAGCTAAAGGATAAGTGGTGGTAAAATAGCAGAGATCACACTGCTGCAGGAGATCTGGGAGGAACAGAGTCTGCACACATGATGGGTTTAAACTGATTTCAACATAGTTCAGTACTGACACTGGTGATTTTTTTCTTTTAAAGAATACATATTTCTTTTAAATTAAAACATACCCAAAATGTGGAAATATGTCAATATATGCAGTGGAATAAAATGCTGTAACAAACACTTCAATTGACTGATTATAATAAAATTAGCATTCAAAGGATTTTTGTATCAAGTGTATGGTTTGCTCAAAGGCTGTGAAAGGCTGGCTTTTGCTGCCTGGTAACTGGGACAAAGTAAGGACCAGGGACCTGATTTAAATCTTATTTTTGTGATTTTGACCTTTTCTGCAAAAGCTAAAACACTTTTGCACTTGATCAAGGTCAATGATTTAATTATTCTAAACTGATTAACTGACTCACAACTCAAAAGCAGGAAAGCTCATTTTCTTCTCTCAATCAGTTAATGAGGCATGAATTGCATGCTTTCACTAATCCTAGCATCCTGAAAGACAAAATATCTGTAAACAGTTAAGCCTTAAATAACATAATTTTAAACACAAAGGATTTTTTGTGTATGTTTTTATTGTTTAACTCTTTTCAGCCCGTTATAGTATAGTATAATAGCTTCATTTAATGGCTATAAAGTTATTTTAAAATGCTCTTCCGCAGAACCTGACTTCCACCTAAATGCAGGGTTGCTCAAAACAGCCTTAAAAAGAATTGTTATGTAGGAAGTGCAATGCTTTCTATAACTGTTACTTTAAAAATTAAGATTTTTAATGTAGTAAGGACAGTTGGCCTCTTTAAACAAGTAGAGATATCTGTGATTCCTCCTCAAAGGTAATAAGCTTCCTAAGGTGAACACACCATTGAGTTATGCCAACTGTTTGTTCACTAGAAATTGCCAGCATAACCTTTGAGTGAATAGCTGAGGAACTGAGCTTTAATGTGATATTCCACTGGCTGCTTAGACAATCACATAGCCATTCACCCTCCTGAATTTTGTTTCCCTTCACAGGAAGGGAACCCTTCATAGGTTCATTCACTCCAATGCTTTAGCCAGGGAAAATGCCTCTATACTTTCTCATTATGGAAAAAATATGGGACATACTATACTTAATGCTTGTGAGGATACCTGTTACTGATACAGGACTAGGGAAAAAACATCTACTTAAACACCTTCAGGTGTTTGTTTTTTCTAACTTTGTCATTTAATATTTTGCCAAGAGTGATTTGGATTACATGGCAGAAGAAGTGCCCATTCTGTGTCATGGAATAAAGGTGAAATTAAGTAAGCATCCCCAAAAATGTGTTAAACATAATATTAAAATTTATAACAAATAGCAGTGATAAAATATGTGGCAGATCAAGGACAGAGTGGCTAAGAATGAGAACTGTCAAATGCAATGTAATAAAAGGCATATGGGAGAAGTAAAGCAAATTAGAGCTGGGTAGTCAAATTATTTGGATAGATAATGAAACCAAGACCTGAAGAGTATTCTGGTAGAATATCAAAGCAGATAATGTAGACATGCAGCATCAAAAAGGAAATTTGCATCTATGAGACAGCTCCTGATAATGTGTTATCAGGTGATACAAGACTTTGGTTTATAAATTAGCCTTGAAAAATACCCAGTTGTTTCTGGCAGTCAGGAAAACTAATTAAACCATGGGATAAATCGCTTGATTTGACGGTTTGTGTTTCGGGGGTTTTTTCCCCATGAAATGAATATGCAAAACTGTATGGCAGAACTTCAAAGGGCCCTCCCATCCCTGCTTACTGCACACCTGGAGTGACCCAGCTGCAGGCTCTCCACACTGATCTGGACTTGTTCTCTTGCTTTTATTGCCTAATAACTTCTCCTGTCTCCTCTGTCATTTTGTGATATGTAGCAGCAGAAATATGCTCCTGTGACTCCTTCTGTCTCTCTTTTAGGCCTGATCTAGAATAGACACAGAGGTTGCTTGGAACTGTACTGGAAGACCTCTGGTTAATGATGTTACCAACTAATGAGGACTTCTAAACTTCATCCTCTGATTAGCCAAACAAAAAAGAGCCCTTTTTATCTGCACCTCATTATTTTTCTACATGGTAATGATAAATGAAAATAAATTGTAGAAGTCACAGAAATGTGGACTGTTTTAGGAAGTTGAGGAGCAAACTATTAGAAGGGTAACATTAAAATATTAGTAGCAAAGCTTTACATAATATCAGTGAAAATTTTCCTAGCAAAGTACTCTTTAAAAACAAAGGACCAGCCCATATATCTCTCTGGAAAGGCACTTGCCATCTTGATTTGCTGTGAAGTACACAGGTTCCTCAAAATATTGTCTTTGCAGGAGTCAAAACTCCTACAGCTTCTCAGTATTTGTGCAGGGATTGAAGCTGGGAGAGGAAAACAGGATTTGCCTGCCTATAGTGATGTTCATGTGCCTTTAGCATGAATATTCTAATTCTTTGCCTTACTCTTACAGTGTGAGGTTTCTAGGATTTGGCCTGCTTTTCTAATCTTGTTTCTATTCATGGACATCAAAGGAAGGAGAGCATCCCAGAAGCTAGGAAGACAAAACTCTGTGACCTGGTGGTTTTATGTGTTTGTAGACTCCAGAAAGACACACAATTTCTGTCCACAATGATTATATTGCAAGACACCATGTTGAAAAAACAATTTCTGTCGACAATCAGATTCATCTCTGACTCCGAGAGATTTTTAGTGCTTCTGGCCAGAAATGCTGGGCTGGGAGCTGTGCACAGAGGGGACAGGCAGATAGATGGGCTGTGCAGAGCAGGCTGTCTCCTGGCAGCAAACTAAGGAGTTACTATTACAGGTAGTCAGTGGGGATGGATCAAAGGGTTCCTTGAGATGGAGTTTGCCTGTAAACAGACTGCAGCCGGATATCCTGTCCCTTGGTCAGCAGTGAGGGGACCTGCAGCAGCTCATGGCTTCTTCTTAGAATTAAAGATGAGTCACTTAAAGGTTACTGAATTTTCTTTCCTATTGCTCCACTTCCTCTGTTTTCTAAAGATAAATAAGAAATGAGAGCCTGGAAATTCTCTTGAGAGGTCCTGCAGCTTGTTTGTTTTGTGGAAATACTTCGTGTTATCTAATTTTGTTACGCTTGTTAACAACAGCAGCAGCTTTCCCATAAAACTTGCCCCAAGTAAACTAACCACAATTTTGAGAACTGAGCTGCAGAGCAGAGAAGTTCATCTTGGAAATTTGAAGATGAAGTACTTTCTTCTGCCAACTCATTTAGCATTTCTCTGTAGCTTTGCACTAAGTAAACCTGTCCAGGTGTGTCCCTGCTCTGAGATGTTGAGAATTTACATTGCTGCTGCTGAGTTGCTTTATCTTAAAATTAATTAGAAACTCTTGCTGCTGTGAATCTACTTGATAGAAGTTTTCTGCTATGGAGATGAGCATGTACTAAAATATATGTACTTTTTTTTTCTCCAGATAGCTACAAGAAAGAATGACTTAGGTGAGTTTGATTGTAATTATTATATAAATAACTACAGGTTTTGGTGGAGCTACATCAATATCATGATTTGGTATATTTTTCTCTTTGAAAATGTTTTGGGGTTTTTTTCTACCATCAGTGGAAGGCAATTCACGGAACTCAAATGTGTTTTAAAGTCACATTCATTTTGATTTTTTATGCTGTTGTGATAAAGAAATTATGAAGAATTATTGAACAATTGCTACATGAAATGTTCTTTTCCATATGTAGCTCTAGCAAACCAGAGTATTTTTCACTTTATTTTCTATCTTATGTGATATATGGTACTTTCCTGTCTGCTATACCCAAGATTTCTGTAATTTTTTTGCTTAATAACAGATAGCTTTTGTCTGTGAGAAATGTATTCCCAGTACTTTAGAGTCAGAATTGAGGAGCACGTCACAATGTCTTATGTTAAATGCACAGTTAACCTGGCCATTAATAGTTTGCATACATTCAGTATGCATGATAAAAATAGTCATTTATTTAATACTAATGTATTATTAATCCTATTTTTACAAAGGTCAGTTATGTTTTTTCTTTAATTCCACAAGTTCTAATGAAGAGGACAATGACTTAAAACACTTAGCATTCCCCTCTGAAAGCTCCCAAAGCTTCTTAAGCTAAAGTTTATTTAGTCACAACGTTGATTACAGCTGCACTATGACATTTATATTAATACTAAATTTTTCTACCCAGGAAGCAAGGCAGACCTAATCAGTCTTAGCATACTAATCCTTCCTCACATTATTAGGAAATGAATTTCAGTGAAAGAAATTTCCAAATATGCAAAATCTTGGTTAGTGTGTACCTCTTGTCTCCCTTTCTGCACATGTGTTTGCCTTCTCAGTGCCTTGTATGTTCTTTATTTTCTGCACCTGCCAGGTAGTGAAATAGCTGTGTATGAAGGAGACATCCTCCTGAGAAGAGGGCGACGCAGTGCCATTAACTGTGAGAGCTGTTTGTGGCCCAAGTCACAAGATGGACTGGTCAAGGTTCCAGTTAACATCTCTTCTGATTTCTGTGAGTGTATGCAAACGGATGCTCTAAAGTTAGCCTTGATTTTCCAGTCCCTAACCCCCTGTTATTTTATGTTTCACTGGCATGCACCAAAAGCAATCTTTGCACAAGTGAGAATTTATTGACACGTCTCTTTTCTATTCTGTTAGCCCTATGGAAGTTTGGCTAAGACTCCAAACAGATCACACTAAAATATGTAGTTATTTGGGCCAATAGTCAGGTAATTAATTGTAATTTCAAATATTAGCTTGTTCCTGTTAGCTACAATGTACTTTGATATTTAGCAAGTACATTAGAAGAGGCATAATTTGTTCCCATTATGAATGTATTTTTGTCATAATTACCACAAGGAACATGTTTTTTAATGCTATAATTTTCTTTTAAATCTCTCACAGAAATATTCCCACACTATAACCCCTGTCGAGACAAAAATGGAGCAAAGATCCTTGGAGATATTTTTCCTTTTTTGATTCCCTCTAGTCAGTCAATAGTTCTGTCCTATGCAAAAGCTGCAGGAGTGAATTCCATACAGACCCTTCTTCAAAGATCTTCCCTTGAGAGAAAACGGCATGGAAGTAAAATACAGCCTGAGCCTGATCCCTGTTCCTCAGGGAAAGGAACTGAGAAAAGCTCAATCTCTGTGTTATCTAGGCTGCTTCTCTGCCCATGTGCCTCCAGAACTGCAGTATACACTTTTATGGATGGGTGAGGGTTATTTCCTCTAACTCTCTCTCTCCAAAGTTTAAATATTAGGAAATTGAGATACACATCAGTTGCAGATGATTCATAACTGAGGAAGCCAAATTAAGCCAAAATGTTCCAAAGTAGATAAACACTCTGATCTTTATTTGGTACCTGAGCCTTGGCTGTCTCAAGTGATTCAAAGGGGGCTGTGGCAGGCATTTGCTCTTTCTGATAAACAAAATAGGGTTTTGGTGCTTAGCTACAATCAGCTGGCTTATTTGGGATACTCTAATCCAACTATTTGTATCTGAAACTGCCTCATTTCTTCTGTTCTGCCTAATGGAAGGAACAATGCCAATCTTTTGCTTTCCATCAGCTGTCTCCTAAATAATATGTGTATGGGATAGCTGTAATTGTTATACTTCCCTAAAAAAGTCCAGTCAGTTTGAAAATCTGTGAATGTTTGGTGCCCTTTTTTTACTATACTTGTATGATAAAGAGCTAATGAGTGCTGTGAAGTTTCAAAGGAATGCACCCCATCAATGCACCTTGATTTTTGATTAACCAAGAAAGATTTCTCCTGCCCCCCTTCTCTTTCTAGCAATAACAGAGAGGTCTTGGATTGCTGATGCTTTGCAAGAGATCTCCACGCTGACCTGTGTGCAATTTGTAAATCGCACTACAGAAACAGACTATGTTTATGTTGAACGAGGGCAGAGGTAAGCTCCCTGTCTCCTGAGAGTGGCAGCACTCAAAAGGTCTTTTTGATTTTTTTCTGGTTTGTTTTGGATTTAAGTAATTGTTTTGTTGGTTTGTTTTGTTTTTTTTTTCATGCTAGCAGTAAAGATTTAGAGAGAAGGTACAATTTTTCATTTTTCTTTAGATATATTGGTAGTTACATCAGCTAATAGGCTGCAGGAATAAATGTGTGTGTGGATTTAAAGATAATGGGGTATAAGTCCAAATAAGACATTTTACTTAATTGTTGTAAAAATTTAAATAAGTATAATTGTTTCGGGTTTTGCTTAACACTTTATACTGCTTTGCCTTAGTTTGATATAGCCAATTTACTGGTTTAAAATTTGCCACCCTCAGCACAAAGGCTTTATTTTCCTCCCACCATGTCATTTGGCAGCTTTCAGAAGTTTAGATATCTCATGCCAGTGATTATTGCATGTCCCCTGCTGTGGCTGCATATCTAGAGAACCTTGGTGACATAATCAATACATCTATATATTTGTATTTGCTAAATGTGATCCTTTTGCTTATTGATTGCTTATTCTTAGCTGCTGGTCTTACTTTGGAAAGATTGGAGGACGCCAAGCAGTAGGCCTGGTGAAAAATGGTTGCATGGATAAAGGAGCAATTCAGCATGAAATGAACCACGCACTGGGTTTCATCCATGAACAGGCACGGAGTGATCGGGACAGGTTTGTCAAGATTATGTGGGAACACATAGTGGCAGGTATGTCCACTAAATCTTAAGAGAAAATATATACTTACAGTTAAAGGAGAACATTTCTCCTGTGAACAGCAATGCAAATAAGAACCATGATTAATGCTGGCTGAATTGCAGCAGCAGCAGCACATTCAGTGTGATGGAATTTCTTGTTCAGTGTTTGTGTTAAGGGAATTTCTGTGGCTACACTGTGAAAGATGCAGCCCAAAAGTAGCTCTATATTCTTATTTTGATTGTCATCTTGAGCCCAGACCCCAAAATACCAGATCATCAGGATTACAAAATGTTGTTGCAACAACTTGGCCAGGAGGCAAGACTATGGTATCCTTAACTGAGGGGGGTGAAGTGCGACATTGAAGATCATGCTGGGGAATCACACAACAGTTCTATCACAGGAAAGCCATGGAAATAGGGGGAGGCATCCAGTAGGCATCTTGGCAGTGAGTGAAATGTATCCTAAAATGTATATGAACCAGGGGCTCAGTGTGGAGGCATTGGAAACACATGCAACCATTAGCATTTCCAAAATTCTGGGACCTGGCTTGATGTGAGAGGAAAGACTGCAATTATTTCCTCCTTGTGGACAGGATCATAGACACATGAAAAGAAGGAGCCATGGGAAGCAATCAGGAGTGGTAATTCTGTAGAGGAAAACTAAGTGGATACTATTAATGGAAAGGAATGCAGAATGAATTGTTTGGGCACGTGCCCGTGATCTGTGTGCTGGGAACATGGGCTCATCATATACAAGAGCTCCAGGCTCTGAGGAGGAAAGGGTAGGGAGAATGGCAAGAGGTCCAAGGGAAAGTGAGAAAGTGGTACATAGAAGGAAAATACCAGAAGAAAGTATGCAGGGCGTCACTTGTCTGACAGCTGTTTAGAGAGCTGAGTAACCCATAACAATTATAAAAATACAATAGTCTATTTAGTTAATTATAGAAAATAATAGTAAAATGAGGCCAGACAATTGAATACCAAATTCTATTAAGTCTCTTCAACAAATTAGATACTCAACTACACAATATCATGCACAGCTAAAAATATATCCATCTTTTTCTCCAGATGGAACTTGATTGTTTTTATTGCAAATTCCTAACACACTGCTCTCCAAACTTTCTTCAGCAATTCCCATGACATCCTAAGTAAATTCCATTTGTGTTGTTCTTTATTGAGGTTTCAGCTCCAATGTTAAGGTGTAATTTTGCTGTGAGTTGTTTGCCATTGTACAACAAGGGTGTGCCATGTTTGAAATGTCAGCAAAGGATGTGCTAGGAAAGAGAAGTTGAAATCATGAAGTTATATACACTAAACACACGTAGTCTTACAGCAGTTTTGCAAAGGGAACTCCACAGGTTCAGATGTCATAATTCCTGAAGGATACAGATGTAACTAAGCTGTGATTCAGGCACAGTGTCATGAAATGATAAATGAGGGGGAAGAGGTAAAGAAGACAAGGCTATGCCAAAGGAGATGAGGTATATCATCAGTATTTTGAGTAGTTGGCATGGCTGGAGAATGAGATTATTTGTGTAGCAAGGAGCTGGAATGCAGAGTGTGTACTGTAGGGAAAAAATGCAAGGATATGCAGGGAAAAGGATATGGAGAAAGAGTTATGTTCATGAGGACTGTAATGTTACAACTTGCTGCTGTTAATGCTGCTGATGGCAGAGCTCCTGCTGACCTTGGTGGTGCAGAACTAGACCTCAAGACCTTTTCCAGTGTCTCAGCTCTCTCACACAAGCTGTTTTTCTCTTGACAGGACTTTCATATTGTTAATGTTTTCTGGGTTTTGTTTTTATCCAGCAATTTACCTTGGAAGCCATCCTACTTCTTTGTTTTGATAAAATGAAGCCTGGTCAGTTGCTGTCCACTTAGTTACTTGAAACTCAGCTTGTTTTTCCTACATTTTTGGGAAAAATATATTCAGAGTCTTCAGCCATAATTTCCTTTTCAGCTCTTCTGAGTCATTGCACTTACATTCTGGCAGAGGTAGATTTTTTTTTTTTTCTTTTATGAGAGTGGAAAAGATGGGGTAAGTCCCAAAACATGTGCAGGTCTAGACAGCCAGATCTCTTTGGCATGTGATGAGGTAGGTAGTAGTTTGCTGGCAGCACCTCAGTCCAGCTAGGATGCTGTCACTTTTTCTTTATTTAGCAAACTAATTCAGCAAAGCAATTCTGTGCCAAACAGTAGCCATATGCTTCAGTGTTTCACCACGTTTGAACTGTGTTCTCTATTCATCACCTCAAAAAAAATTGCACACTTGCTGGCAATTCTTTCTGAAGTTAGTATAGCAGATAAGAAGGACTGAGATTAAAACGGAGTCAGGAAGGCCAATGCTGTTGAGAAACAGTTTAAGCCTTAACTGAGTTTTAGAGCTATGAAAAGCTCCAAATCCATGTTTATCCCCAAATTTCTATTAGTTGGGATTTCAAATCTTTTTGCATCTCTTAGCTGTCAGCCCAGGACCAGTGCTGAAGGACATTACTGGCTGAGATTTGCTCTAGCTGGAAGCCTGCCAGCTGAGCTGTGTAGATGTCAAGGATGTCCAACTCCAAACTCTTGTCCAGATGGTCTGTGGTTTACAAACCACATTTGTAGTTACAATAATGAAGGTACAGAACTGGAAAGGAGTGCTCAGTGGCTAGTGCTTTACTCTTAATGCCAGGCTGGCTGCATTCAGCTCCCTGCTCTGACAGTGCTTGTTTGCCTGTCTCACCATGGAAGAGACCCAGCATATAATTCATACTCATGATCTCCAGTCAGTGAGAAAAATAAGTATGAAACTCCCTCCAACTGTGTCTCTCTTTCTTTCCCTCTCCTCTGACTATCCTGGAAGCCTTGAGGAATAGCTTCCATGCCTAACTTGAAGAAATAAAGCTAGGTGACATGAAATTCAGTCTCTGTCCCTGGGGCCCAGCCCTGTATCAGTGTAACACCTTATCTCATATTGGCTTTTATGGCTGATGAAAAGTGATGAGATGCTCAGCAGCTGTTCTGACAGAATTTGTTTTTCTGCTTCATGTGAGTCATATCACTTCACTCTAGTCACTGCTGATGGGTTTGAGCAGAGACAAAGCCAGAACATGTCTGGTAGCATGGGCTCTGGGGCAAGTAACAGGGAAAATATGTTCCTTTCTTTTGTGGCACTAGGACTGAGCATGACATCACCCACGCATAGCTCCTAATTTTTCATCTAGGTGGTCAGCCAGATTTCCCCCTCAAGGTATGAATACAACTTTTGGGACATAGGTTGGATGCTTACAGTATTCAAGATAATGCACTGAAATGTGTTTGGAGACATCCAATATGAAGATGGACAGAGGAATACTTTTGTTTGAAGAGTAGAATGTATTCATTGATTATATCAAAACTTATTTGATGAACTTTATATTCTGAAGCATACTAGACTGTAAAAATGGGTTCCCATGGATTTCAAAAATCTCTGGTGGCTCTGATAGGTCCAAGATCTCATTAGAACACATATTAGTGTCCTATGTTACTCTCCAGATTATGACAGCAGGCAGTGCACTATTAGAGCAGTAATAATTGCTCTGACTGAAATGCTGCTTTCCTACCTTACAGGGGAACAAGGGAACTTTGGAAAAATGAATTCCAAAAACCTGGGCCTTCCCTATGACTACTCTTCAGTGATGCACTATGGCGCGTAAGTTGTTTGCAGAAATATCCTTTCCAAGGAACAGCTTTCAGACCTTCTGTTCAGATCTAGGAAGAAGAAGTTGCTCTGTGCAGGGAGTGACTTTTGCTGTTCATTTGAGTGCATGGACATAATTAAGGGTGAGCATGCTTCCTTTGTCAGCAGGATTCCTGGAAAACAAGTTGATATGGATAGCAACAAAACATAGGACGTTTTTCTTCCAATGTACTCTTGCCTCTTGCTAAAGACCTTTGACATGCCTCTTGCCCAAAGTCTAATTCTACTGAACCACTGATCTAAACCAGTTCTGAAGTTTAAATTATTTTAGTAACATCTAATCACAGACAACAACATTCAAGTGTAGAGGCAAGAAAAATGGAATTTTTTAATTTAATTGAGATGTTGTATGCTGCCTTCTGTTAATCTAATCTGGGAACACTGTCTAAGGCTGCATTTTAGTCCATAATGTACAAGCTTGTATCACATACCTTCTCTTTTATTTCCACAAGCAAGTAATAATTTCTGAACAAAACCATGAAAAAAAACTGGACTAGGAGAAGGCAGGAAATTGCAGATAGCAATTAGTAACAGAGACAGAACTATTTCTGCTCCTCTGCCTCAGGAACCAAGAAGGTGGGATTCAGTCCATTCTGCTGGACATTACTGAAAGGCCCTTTCACTCAGGACAGAGCAGCTTTTTCTGCTTCCTTGCTTCCACCTGCTGAACATCAAGTATCTGCCATGCTGGTCCTCTTCAGGGAAGGCTACCAGGTCTCTGAGAAGCTTCTTGTCTATTTCCATTAAAATTCTGTTTACATAGTGCATGAGAAATGATAATGCAGTTAGAGAAATTCCCTGTCTATGAAAAGCAATCTAGAAATGTGATTTCCTTATTTCTACAGGTATGATTTCTCCAGCACTCCAGGAAAACCAACTATTGTACCAGTTCCTGACCCTTCTATACCTATTGGGCAGAGAGATGGGCTGAGCAACTTGGATGTAGCTAAAATCAACAAGCTCTACAAGTGCAGTAAGTGCTGTAGATAGAAGGCATATGAATGCAGCTGATGTCTGAAGGCACTGACAGACATCCCCCAAAGGAATGTGGCTCATAGTCCCTTCACTACACCTCTCTCACCCTACAAAAGGAAACAGAACTGTCCCTGTGCCAAACTGCTGCCTTCTTGGAAAGGACTTTCCAAGGAAAGGAATTTACTTTCAATTATTCACTCTCATTTTAAGATATCCTCACCTAATCCCTGCTCTTGGAGATAAGCAAAATCCATCAGAGAACTCATGGTTGCTACCCCTGTCAAATTCTCATTTCAGGAAAGCTCTGAAGGTTGCAAAGCATGTAAGCTCTCCTCAGCCATGAGTATAGCTTAGAGTCATGTGCATCAGTAGTGCCAGCAGATTTGTGATTTCTCTTAATTAAAAAATGTCTGCAGGGCTGTAAGCATGGGTGATATTCAGCCTGATCAGAACCCCTTGGAGGAGAAAACCATAGGCATTTTGAATAGATATCTACTTTCTTGCCACATCCATTTCTTAACTCATCCCTGTGGTATCTTAAGGTCTAGCAATACCTAACACTCCTCTGTGAACAGGAACTCTTCAGCCAAGATGCACAAAACAGGTATAACATCATGCTCCTGCACTGCATGGGTTTTGCATTAACTCCCAGAACAAAGGCTAATTGATTTATATGGTGTTTGACTTTTCTGAGATGTTATTCAATTAGTTTCCACCAAAACAGCAAGAAGCATTAACAAGACCTAAATATTAGTGTACTAAATTCTACTCTTGTGTTAGAACTTAGTTAAATAATTAGAATTTAGAAGGAATTAACATTCTTTCAGTTGGATTGTTAGGTACAGAAATCATTGCTGAGAGTGGTTCCTCCAAATTCACAACTGCAGATGAGACAACTTTACAATTCATGTGTCTCAAAGATAGTGATAACAAGTATTTAGTGATATTTATTCTTGACAGTTGGGCTGGGAATGAATCACATTTCAGTACCATTACTATGCAATTTCATAATTAGATCTGTATTTTTTGGAAGAAAAGCACTAAATTTAAAAAAGAGAGAAAAACTTGGGGACTAAAAAAAACCAATAAAAAGTCTGGTTGTCTCAAGAAAAGTAGGAAGCAAGAGAAAAATGTCAAAAATTCCTATGAGCAGATGTCATATATTCATATTTTGGAATTTGGGGAGTTACATAAAATGCAAAAAATGAAGATGTGGAAAAACAAAAGACAGATGAGATCAGATGTTGTATACCAGTCACTAGGTCTGTAAGTCGACTTTAGTGCTCTCTGTTACCATTTTCCCTCAGTGACTACCTCTCCTTGCTTTGACAGAATCTTGTTTTCAAATTTGATTTTTGCACACACTTATGAATACACACAGTTGCTAATAGAAATTTATGTACTGCAGTCATTGAAAGTACTTCTGTGATTGAAGCTAAGGAAGTCCATGAAAGATCCAGGCCTTTTTTGTAAACTAATATATTGTGAACAAAGCTCTATTATCTTTTAAAAAAACATTAGTAGCTGAAACAGGCAAGTACTTCAACTACCTTTATTTCACTTGCAGGTTTTCAATAATTTTTAGACCAGGAACAGCAAAATAAGCAGTAAGCAGTATAATTAACTTATACAAGCTTGACTGCTGCAAATGGTTGGAGAGACTTGTCAGGCATTATGGGAATATTTTTGTGCAGTTTTCATTCTCTTCAATGCTGTTTGGTTCTTCCCTTCAGATTGCTGCAGCTCTGTGTTGCCTAAACCCAAAGGCTCCTTCTCCTCTGCCAATTACCCATCCCCATACCCAAACAATAGCAACTGCCTGTGGCTGATCCGCATCCGCCGAAGTAAGGTAATTTTTATCAGGAAGAAAAAGGTTTGAAGCACAGTACCCAGGCTACACAGCATTATTTCATTACCATGAGTAACCCCTGGGAGTCAGTTCATGCATCAAGGCATTTATTTTGTTATGCAGTAAATGTAAGTCTCAACAATTTTCATAAGAACTAAGATTATTAGAGGGATTATTTCACTCAATTTTTATCCAGTTCAGATAGGATGGCTTTTCAAAGACAAGCAGTAGTGAAACATCAGTCTCTGGGATCTCAGTAATAGCACATCTAGATGAAATTCTGTACTCTTTTTATATAGAAAGTAAAGTTTCAGTAATAAATGGATAGTAAAATGAATATGAGGGTTTAAGACTTTCCCTGTGTATAACATTACACCCAACTTTTGCTTTTTTGTTTCTCCAGATCTTCCTGCAGTTTGAGGCTTTTGATCTCCAACGCTCCTCAGACTGTTCTTCTGACTATATAAAAATTTACAATGGGAACAGCAAGAGCTCCCCTGTCTTGCTGGACAAGTACTGTGGGAAGGGTCCACTGCCCTCCTTAGTGGCATCTGGATCCACAATGCTGGTAGAGTTTGCAAGTGATGAGAGCATTACAGCCAGAGGATTCAGAGCCTCCTACAACAGGGGTATGAACACTCCTTTACAAAGCTTGGAGAACAGCATTAGCAGTATTTGTACAGAAGAAATGAAAACTTTTACTGTACACTACAGAGTAGGTCTTTGTCATTCTTCACACTTTCACAGCAATTGGAAATGCAGAAGGCCATGATGTGTCTAAAGGTTCACAGGAAACAGAAAATGGGATGTTAGTCTCATGTTAGTTATCCTGAGATCCTACTCACATTCTTTTGAGGGCCTCTGTTAGGCTTCTTCATCTCTCCAGAACAAAGTCTTTAAAAAAAAACAATGCAATGACTGTTCCTGAGATCCTACTCACATTCTTTTGAGGGCCTCTGTTAGGCTTCTTCATATCTCCAGAACAAAGTCTTTAAAAAAAAAAAACAATGCAATGACTGAAATTAATAGGAGCAGTGCAGCCATAAGGTGCTCCAAAGTCTTAGAAAAGTGTCATCTTTACTCTTTTTGCTTTATTCAATTGAGTAATTTCTAGAAAGCACTAGATCTAGCTTGATAATGCAATCTTGAGTAGTTGAGCTGATTCTTTTCTGAAGGGCAGTGAGTGCCATCAGAATGCTATGCTAATATGGTAACAGCTGATTGGAAAGTCAGATACAGCTTTAGATGCAGCTGTTCCCTATCCTCAAAGATTATTTATCAGACATGTTTCTAGTTCCTTCAGTACAGCTGCTGATATAAATACTAAGTGAAGAATTGAAGTACTTCAGCAGTAGGTTTTCATGGTAGCACATTTTTTCTTGGTTTGAAGAAATAATACAGTAGCAAGCTGTATTAAGAAAAAATACAGTAGTAAGCAAGCTCATTTCTACTGACAAAATGCTCTTGTTAATACATCTGGTTTTCTCCTTTACTCCTCAGTGAATTGTGGAGCCACTTTCAGAGATTCAAAGGGAGTCATCACCTCTCCAAACTACCCCAATAAGTACCCCAAAAACCGTGCATGCTTCTGGGTCATCACTTCTCCAGTAGGATACAAGGTAAGGCACAGATTAATTCATTTGTGAATTTCATCACTGTTCTCTGATGAAACCTGTTTCCCTTGAAGAATAAGAGCTGTTATGTCACTTTTTCACCAGATCCTCAGAGTAAAAATCTGAAAGCACAAATTCATTTTAAGAATTTATGCTGGATCTTGGTATCTGAGGTGCTCAGCAAGGGAAAACCTTTACACAAGCAACTGAACTCATGAATCTAGCCTGTACCACAAGGCTTTGTTTTATGCTGGATCTTGGTATCTGAGGTGCTCAGCAAGGGAAAACCTTTACACAAGGCTTTGCTCAAAATAATCCCTAGGTAAGAGCTCCCACTAGAAAACGGAAACATCACACAGGTGCTGTTTTTATATTTCTCTAGAGGAAAGAATGTGAAGTGTGGAAGATCAATCTTGTCCCTTACTTCTCCTTCCAATCCAAATACTGATGAACTAATCAAATAATTTGCTATTAATTTGCATTGCCATATGGAATCAGGATGTGGTGCACACACAGAATTAAAAAATGGTGCCTGCACACAAGGAGTTTAGAGCATTTGTTGTTGTTAAAAAATGGGTAAGAGAAAAGGCTGCAAACTGGAAACAAAATGCTTTGGTTGTATTTTCTCCAGATATCTCTCAAAATGTTATCCTTTGAGCTGGAATATAGTGACAGATGTGTCTATGACTACTTGCTCATACATGATGGAAGCCGCCCTATGTCACCTGCAGTTGGCCCTTATTGTGGGACAGAGAAGGTTGCAGACTTTACTTCCACTGGGAACTTTGTGCTGGTTGAATTCCACAGTGATTTAGTGTGGGAGTTGCCTGGATTTGTGATGAGTTATACATTTGCTAGGTAAGTAAAATACAGACGGGGTTTGAAAAACACAGAATGAGAGTAAGAGTCCAGCTAGCCTCAGGTAAAAGTGAAGATGCCACCAATTTCAGAAAAAAAAAATTATATAACCTGATACCTTTAACAAGCATGAAGTTTGACCTCTTAGTCTTACATCTACAGTGGTGTAATTTCCATGGTGAATCAAGAACAGAAATGTTCCTGCCCATGGGATGCTTCTGTCTGAGACTGTATGCTTCTTGTTATAGTATTCTCATTGCTGGTGTTGCATGGCCAAACACAATAGCAGAGCTGAAACTATGTAAGCAGATTTTCAAGAACTTCTAGTGGTAGAAACTGCCCATAAAAAAATTCAGAACATGACTGTGTAGCAACTTTAACCTGTATTCTGGCAAATGCTATTACCCAACCTAAATGTGCATTCCAGCATGCATACAGAAAATTCTTCAGACACATTTATTTACATTTTGAAGTCAAGATCACAGTTCATATAGGCACCAGAGCTTAGCATGTAACATCACCACTTGACACCAAACAAGTGGTGTCATAGTACAGTATGACACACAGTACCTCAACTCAAAATTTGCACTACTCCTCTGTGAGATGGACCAGATCAGAGAACAGTTTTAACTAATGTAAATAAAGTTAAGAGTAGCAGGAACAAGCACTGAGGGAAAGGGAATTGAATGAAGCACATGCTATTGTCACTTTGCTGTGGCCTGAGTCAGGTATTGCAATTGTCCCTAAGGTGTTACCAAAATACTTTTTAAAAATGAGGCCTGAAAACCTAATGCAAAGACCAGTGAATGTTCTCTCTGGAGAGCATTTTAGGTTTGAAGTACCTTGTCTGTAGAGAGAAGTCCTCCTCCTCTAAAGAGATGGCTGGAGTGGAGACAGAAATCACCACTGTAAACACCTAACACTTTGCCTCGACTTGATGTATTCAGAATTAAATGCTAGTGCCAAGCTGGGAGATGCCAAAACATTATGAATAATAAAAGACTTTGCTGAAATTATGTCTCTGTGAAGAAGAGCATGTAGAAATTGCCAATTTGCTTTCCTGGTGCAACTAAGAAAATTTTGAATGATGATGACTTTGTAGCAGTGGGGGGGGAAGGGTTTAAGATCTGTAATGTTTTGCTTTCTAAGCACTGGTTAATTTTCACTCACAGAAGAATAGTGATAAGTTAAGTTAATAGTGATAGTTGATAAGTTGTGGACATCAGGGTTCAGAGTTTTCTTGCATCATGGTGGGAAAGTGCATGTACAGCAGGCAATAAAGATTTGTATTTCTTACAAGCTCCAATCTTCTGGCTATAAAAAGCATCCCTTCATTTAATTTGACTCACTATGTAGATTGGCATATTTTTGGAGAATATAACCATTTCATCAGCATGTCAGAAAATTAAAGCCTACTTCTATTTTTAAGCTCAGCTTCAGACTGTAAAAATGCAAATTCTTCTCCTTGAGTCTGAGGACTTTGATGGAGGTGCAAAAGTAACAACCCCATGACAACTGTGATTATATAACGAAGTTGAACAGGTCCCTGTTTTAAACAGACAGTGCTGAACAGCTTTGTAACTTGAGTGTGACTTTAGATTCCCTTCCCTTGGTCTGATGTGGAGCTTTACAGACCTGCAATGTTTTAGATGTTCACCCATACTTGGTAAAAGAGCGTGAATAGCATATTCCAAAAGCAATATACCACCTACAGGAATATCGGTCTTGCACTTTGTCCCTAGAAATACAGTTTTAAGTAGGACATTGCCCATGTATAAATACACTCACATTCTGAACTATATGAAGGAAGAGTAACCAGCTAGTAGACACAAGGGACAGCATAGTCAAAAGTTTAGGGTTCAAATACCACCACAACAGGAGGATTTTCAGAAGTTCTAACTAAAGTTCAGCACTTACTTAACACACTATTGAAATCCAAAATGTAAGGATTTAACCATAAAACACAGAGGTATCTAGCAGTGAGGAGGAATATATGCATTCCAATAGATGTGCATAACTCATGACACAAACAGGTGTTACCTTAACTGCACATGAAACCAGATGTTTTTAAAGAGAGACTCACTTCCACAAGCCTCTGTGTGTGTGGAAGAAATAAGAGTGTTTGTGCCCACATACTCCTTTTTTACCTGCTCTGCAACTGTCCTGGTTCCTGCCTGGGAGGCACATCAGAGCCTTTGAGTGCTATGCTTTTGTAGTCTGTAAGAACCAGAACAGAGATCTGTCAATTATTACTGCAGGAGAAAAATAGCCTGGAATAAAGCATTACAGAAGCACACAAAAACCTACTACTCATAGGTCTATTTTTGTGTTTAATTTAAAATACATTTTCCTTACATAAAAAAATAACTGTGATTGAGATGACACTTGCATGACTACAACCCTGGTTATTGAATCATAGAACAGTTTGGCTTGAAAGGGACACGTAAAGGTCATCTAGTCCAAAGCCCTGCAATAAGCAGTAAGGCACCTGCGCGCCCCGCGGTTAACAGCGTGACTCATTTGCACTCCGTGACTCTGCAAACACTGCAGGGCACTCACTCCTGGGGGCAGGCGGATCAGCCTGGCAAAAGGATGGGCTGGGGATAACTGGAGTTTTGTGAGACTGTCCTGGTTCCTGCCTGGGAGGCACATCAGAGCCTTTGAGTGCTATGCTTTTGTAGTCTGTAAGAACCAGAACAGAGATCTGTCAATTATTACTGCAGGAGAAAAATAGCCTGGAATAAAGCATTACAGAAGCACACAAAAACCTACTACTCATAGGTCTATTTTTGTGTTTCATTTAAAATACATTTTCCTTACATAAACAAGTAACTGGTTGAGATGACACTGAACTGCAGTTCAGCTGATTCTTACTATTCTGAACCAGGATCTCACCACAGGTTTAGGACAAAAAAAACCCCGCCCAGGGTAGCTTGAGCACAATACTGCCTGCCTTAGAGAATACGCTTTCTTGTTTTATTAACACCCAAGAGCAGCTGATGCCCTCTGGGCCAGGGACCCTCCGGCGGGGCGGGCAGGGGCACCGGACTGCATGTACCACAATGCATCGCGCGGCGATGGCAGCCGAGCCGGCCGGCCACCGGGATCGTGGGGAACCCTGGGCAGTGTAGTTTACTTGCGGAGAGCTGCCTGGCCTCTGAAGGCCGGGAGGGAGGAGCAAGAGACTACAACTCCCATAGAGCCGTGCGTCGCCAGTTTTGTGTTGGGGGACGGGAGGGTGGTGTCCGCGGCTTCCGGCTTGTGACAGCCCCGCTCGCCGCCGATCCCTGGGCCTGAGGCAGCCGCGGCACCGGGCAGACCATGGAGCCTGGGATAGCGGGGGTGCAGCGCCGTGCCTGAGGGCGGGCTGGGGCGCAGCGCTATGGATAACCGGTGCTATGGCTGCGCGTCCAAGTTCTCTGTCTTCAAGAAAGAGGCAAGTCCGGCTGCGGGGGTCAGGAACGGGCCGGTCCCGCGGGTGCCTCCCCGCCGTGCCAGGGACTGAGAAGGGAGCCGGGAGCTGCCTCGCCCGGCGCCGAGACACGCTTCCCGGCGTTGTTGTCCTTGCTTACTGAGCTCTTAGGGTGCCTAATTCCGATATGTCTTCAAGTATGAGAAATTACTGGCCAAAGAAACAAAAAGTCATTGAATGCCATCCCTCTAATGCAGGATTCTGTCATGGTCTCAGACAGTTCACACACACACTTCGCTGTACTATGGGGAGAAGTGGAGACTCTGCTCCCAGCAGGAGTTATCTGCTGGTGCTCCAAGGTTCTTGAGTCTCCGTATCTTCAGCAGCAGCTGGTGAAACAGTTCTGTCACCAAAAAATCAGCATAGCCCCAGCATTATTCTGTGTGTGCCTCGGCACGGGCCCTGTGCCCGTGAGCGCAGCAGTGGCGAGGTGCTGAAGCCCTGTCCTGCCCCTCTCTCCTGTCTCTGCAGTGTGGCTGCAAGAGCTGCGGACGGTCCTTCTGCTCGGGCTGCCGGAGCTTCAGCGCTGTGGTTCCCCGCTGTGGAAACACTCAGCAGAAGGTGTGCAAGCAGTGCCATGAAAAACTAACTGGGTAAGATGGGAGCGTTTCTTCACCCAAAGACAGTTTGCCGATTTTTTCCTTCGGTTTACATTCAGTGTGGTGTTGCAGATTTCTGCAGGAGAGCTCTGCCTTCCATATGTGCATGGATGCTGCCTGTACCCCAGAATTTCAAGACAGGACATCTCTGAACTTATTGTTATATGAGCTGTGCAGTCCTAAAATAGTAATCAGGATTTGTGCCTGTTCTCTATGATCTGTAGTTTGAAAGCATCAGGTTTAAATCTTCATGGATGGACACTGAATTCTTGTGGACAGCTTAACTAGATGGGCTGAGGTTAAGCCACACTGTGTTTTTGCCTAGAAATCTACACTGCTTTAACAATTCTGGCAGTCTTCTCAGCTGTGTATAGCTGAGTAGCCTGACAATAAGATGCTCAAAGTGTTAGTAATTCTGTGGGCAAACAATGACATAAATCCTCCACACTGAGGGATCTCTGCTATATGTGGCCTGAAGATGTAAAGTTCTGTAGCCTAAAGCCTATAAAACTTTTGCTTTTAAAAGAAAACTTTAAAAATTATTTGCATACATAACCAGTAGACTTCCTGTTGAAAACAAAACGTGATTCAGTAGCAGCAGGATTTTACACTTGAACAAGCAACATAAAAACACAGGTGTACACCAGAATTCCTCTGTCAACCAATTCTTCTGTGCCTTCTTTTTCTCTTGCATTTCTCTTGTTCCTTTTCCTCATTTTTCTCCTATAGCAAGGAATTTTCATCAGCAAGGGGGAAATTTTCTGGCTCTGCAGATGTTGAAAGGAGAAGAGCCTCATTAGTGAAGGTCTTCATCTTCATGGGCTGCTGAAAACAGTGAAGGACAGTATTCAGTCTTTTCAGTTTTGAAATTATCATTTCCCTTCACAACTTCAAAGCCATTAAGAAAACAGAGCCACCTGTCTTGATGTTTCCTCTGGGTGTTTTTTTCTCATAATTTTAATATCAGCACTAGAGAGCTACAGTAGAAAAACAATCTTCCCTGACTGGATAGCAGGTAGATTATAGAATCATAGAGTGGTCTGGGAAAGGACCTTAAAAGTCATCTATTTCCAGCCCCTGTGCTGTAGGCAGGGACACCTTCCACTAGACCAGGTTGCTAAGAGCTGCATCCCACCTGACCTTGAACACTTCCAGGGATGGGGCATCCACATCTTCTCTGGGCAACCTGTTCCAGTGTTTCGCCACTCTCCAAGTAAAGAATTTTTTTCTAGTATCTAATCTAAACCTGTGCTCTTTCAGTTTAAAACCATTTCCCCTTTGTGCTGTCACTATGTGCACTTCTAAAAAAAAAAAAATCCTTCTCCGTCTTTCCTGGAAGTTTCTGGGAAGACCCCAGAGCTGAATGCAGCACTGCTGGTGGGATCCTGTGAGAGAAGAAGAGATGGGTAGAATCTCCTCCCTTGCCCTGCTGGCCATGCTGCTTTGGATACAGCCCAGGACACAGCTGGCTTTCTGGGCTGTGAGCACACATTGCTGGGTCATGTCCAGCCTCCTATTCACCAGCACTCCCAGGTCCTTTTTGGCAGAGCTGCTCTTGGTCTGCTTGTCCCCAGCCTGTGTTGATACCAGGAGTTGCCCCAACCCAAGTGCAGCACCTTGCACTTTGTCTCATTTAACCTCCTGAGAGTCCCAAGGCCCACTTCTTGAGCTTGTGCAGATCCCTCTGGCTGGCATCCTGTCCTGCAGGTAATACACATAGGCTGCACTTCTGTAAGCTGCATATGTTGTTGTTCTGTGTGCAAATAGCTTTCAGAATTGAAGCCTTAGAACTTTGGAAAGCATTCAAACAATGTTGCATTCAGTCATTGCTATATGGGCCATAGCTGTGATTTCTAAGAATGAATAAAATATGCTAACTAACTTGCATGAGTGTCTAGTTTAGTCCCTCAGCCTGAACACAGCAAAGTGGAAGAGTTAGACCTGTTTTAAGCATGTAGTGTTCAAGTGTTTTGTAAGGTGTTATATAATAACTTTTGTAATGCTTTGTTTTACTTGCATGTTATATAATTCTGTGTTTGTTGCATGCCCCAGCTCCTTCCAGAGTGTCCTGCTGCA